TCAAGCCTTACATCCATAAAAAAAAGACACAGATTGTCATTACACAGGTTACTGGTAGCAGGGAATAGGAAGACAGCAAGATGGTGAAAATGAGTTGACTCAAAACTGATCCTTATCCAAAACCTTTTCAATGTATTGAAAGAAACCAACTGCTGAAACCTGTATTTTGTATTGCACATGGAGAAGAAATAGGTAGGTGTTTTTTAGGCAAGAAGCTCTGATCAGTCTAGCTCCATGTAAGCTCTATTTTTTCCCCTGCAAGATAAGAGTAGGGAAGAAGGCAATAAGCTGAAATAGCTGACTTGTAAATAAAAATTACTGGCACATGTATTGTCTCCAGCAGAGGTATTCTAAATAACCTTGAAGAAAGCATCTGATCTCCAGGCTGAGAGATACAATGTTTTTTTCTAGAGTATATACTTCTTACACAACTGGTTGACAGACGTGACTGACCTTTTTGTTGCATATTTGACTGATCTTTCTCTCTAGTCCTTTCTCTGCTGTTCTGAGGTCTGACTGGGGTCTGTGAGCTCTGTTGCAGAGGGTATACAGGTATTTCTTTTGTTAGACCCTTCCAAGATTTCAGCTTTCAGTGAAAAGCTCAAAAAGGTAATAAAATGTTATCAGTGCCAATTCTATAGTCTGTTAAATGTAAATTATCTGCAAATTTGTCCATTACTTTGCATATATAGCTCTATGATATGCTATGCAGAGTCATAGATTTTTACTTTTTCAACAGAAATAACATTTTCCACCGAGGCAGTCTCTGTCATCTTAATTTAGTTGAATTTATTATGAATTCTGAGTCTCATATTTGCATTTTAGTTGAAGAAATAAAACTATATTACTGTCCAAAAACTGCTGATGAGTATACAAAATGTCTCAAATGATTACTTACTATTGAGGTCAAACTTTGCTATGCTTAGTACCTGAAAGACAAAGATAAGGAGTTTCTGAACATTTCATGAAGAATAGTCCTAGGTCTTTTAATTAAATCAGGCTGCAGTGGCTATATACTCCAAAAACTGCCTGGGAGGGCTTCCACAGGTTAGGAACTGAACTAACTTAATTTATGTAGAGGCAAAGAAAGGCAGTGAAGCAGCAGAGAACTCTGTGAAACCAGTTGGCAGCGAGCCATCTGTTAAGCAACTGCAACTACGTCAAACATATCTAAAAATATATCAGTTGGTTTGGGAACATAATGCCCTAACTCCAATAAAAAGGCACTTTGTAAACAATCAAAAATGTGCTTTAAAATCAGTTGGATTTATTCATATAGCAATGAAATGTAAGAAGTTCTGCTCTCATAGACGTTGTTAGTAAATCCTGAATAATTAAATTGTTTGTCCCTACTTCTCCTCTTTGGAGTAGAAGCTAGCATTTTATTTCAGTCCCATTGTCTATCTCCGTGGTTCCCTCACAGCCTGACACTTCTGTCATGTCCTGCCTTACTTTCTGCTTCACCTGAGTTTTTCCTTCATGTATTGTCTGTCCAAGTTGCCTTGTGCAGTATTCTTTTATAGACTTATAGAATGCTTTAGATCAGAAGGGACCTTAAAAATCATCTGTTTCCAGCCTTCCCTGCTATTTTCCATCCCACTCACTTCACTCACTTGCTCTCATTCTACTCTCATTTCTGCCCTTCTGACAATCCTACTGCCGGGACTTCCTCTCCGCAATTCTACCTTTCCACTTTAGCTTCCTTCTTCCCATGTTTCCTTCTGCTATCTAAACTACAAACCTTGTCTTTCTTTGCAACCTCCAGACTGGATTTTTGTGCATTTCTGTCTGTCTCCTGAACTCTTGCTTTTATTTTCAAGTGCTTCTGCTTCTGTGGAAACCCTCTCTTCCACCTACATCCATCTTGTATGCATCTGTCTTTTTTTGCACTACCACCTTACGCATGAGAAACTGGGGACACTTCTTTGCTGTCATTTTAGTATTTTATGCAATTTTACTCCAGTATTTTTCACCTACCTTTTATATAGTCATCAGCCTCAGGTTTGAGAATCAGTATATACCTTCAGTCCTGGTTAAGGCATCAGTGTGACAGCTCTGAACAAAATACCTTCATTTTTTCCTGCTTGTGCCCAGCAGTGTCGTCATTGCTGTTGTAAGAGAGTCAGTGGCAACAGCCTTGATCTGTGATTCATTCTGTGCCAACATTATGACCCCCTGCAGCAGGCCACAGCTGGCTGATGGTGAGACTATCAACAAAAACCTTGTCCTTGTAATAAGGCTGAACAGTCTTAATTCAGCCTTACTAGAGTACTGGTAAAATGTAGAAGGTGCTGAGTCACTAATTCTTTAACAGTTTCCGTGCAGGTAGGTGCTGGTACCAGACAGTTAACTCTCCTCCACCCTTCTTTCAAGGGAAAAATACTGAAATAAATGGTAGAAAACCTGGCCACCAACACTTAGGTATATTGCTAGGTGAAAGAAAGAGTTGTAACAGATAGACAGAAGTTATCTGTAAATCATTGCAGTGCTGTTAATTTCATTCAAATATATATAGCTAATTAAGAGCATCCTTCCCAGTGTGATGGTTATTTCAGTTCATGTACACTGCACATTTTAAGTCCTGTTATTTGAGGGCATTCCAAAAGTGGGCTATCCAGTGACTGATTTCAAGAGCAGATGTCACTGTAAAAGTGGTTTACTTAGCAGCAGTAGTTTTTTTAACATCCATGCAGTAAGGCTGCAAATATGGAAACCAGAAGCATTCCCATGTTTGTAGAGGTCTGCCTGCAGAAATAAATATAAGCATATATTTTGAAACAAGTATTTTTAGAAACTTCTGTTGAGGACTGTACTGCTGTTTGGACTTCGTGCCCTTTCAGATTTTGTTGCTTAGTCTATACATTTTTAATAATCATATTACCTGCTAGCAGTGACATTTTGTGAAGGTCATTTTTCTTGTGAAGTTGGAGAATGGACTTGAATTTCATTGAAGGACTCCCTGAGCTGCAGGATTGTTGTTTATGGAACTCTCTTGAATCTTGTACTACCTTTGAAGCCTGTTTAGAATTTTAACTAATGATATCTTCAAAGTGTCACTGTGCTCAAGGGCAAAAAATAAATTTCAAAATGCACTTTATATTTAAAACCGGTTTTGAATAGCTTTGAAGCTTGGTATTAGCTGAAAATAAAAGGCATAGATACAGACTTCCTATGTATGCACACAGAGAATTCCATGTTTCACCAGCTTTTTCTTTGTCAGCAAAGTGTCTCCACCAGTGCAATGCCTTTTTCTTCTGTATTATAAAAATCATCAGGTCTGTGGATGGTCTTAAGAATTTTTAATGTGATTGATAATTTAATACCTCAGCAGGTATCCTAAGGTAATCTTCCTCCATGGATAGGTTTTAGTTTTGTCTACATCATTCCAAGGCCACTTCTTCTCATTTCCCCTGTGTAGAAGCACTGTCACTGGATTGTATTTAAATGACTTTTTTGTTTCCGAGTATAGGATTGTAGATACTAAAACCATCATGCTGTGCTTCAAATAAAAGAGGCTGTGGTGTCAGCTACTGAATTGATGTTGCTTGGTTTTGTATAAACCAAAGTTCCAACTTCCCACAACTGAGCACATAACCAGTTTGCTTATTAATAAAATAGCCAAAGGTTTACATGGTAGCTGTGTCTGATGTCTTCTGATACTGACGTATTCCTTTAAAATATGTTAAATGTTAGTTACAGTGTTTGACAATATGGACACATGAATATCTGTACTCTTCAAGAATTTTTTTTTTCTGTTTTATTTATTGCCTCCTCTAAGTGTTTTTTCCGTATAACTAGTATAGGACTCCTGGATCCTTCTTATAGGGATGCCTAGATTTTGTTGATTCTGTAATTTTCCTTCTCTAGGACTTTATTTTTCTATTTGTAAACTAAAAACTTACAAAAGTACAAGGATGTGATTTATAACTGAATCTTTCCCACAATATGATTTGCCTGGTTTTTTTCCGTTTTATTATTTTGCTATATCAAACTGCCAAGAAAATTCAGCTTATTCGGCGTATCCTTATATTTAAGGTGCTCTTTTCTATTTCTGTTTGATAGCTGTACCATCAAAGTGTTGTAGTTTGACTGTCTGTTATACCACAAATTTCACAGTTTTATGATCATTGCTAGCAGTTTAGTTATGCCAAATAAGTTAGAATCTTATTTCAGAGCATGAAACAGTGTGATCCACTGAACAGCAACTACTGTGGGAGAAATGAAGAGAGGGTGGGACTGTAAGCAGTCTTTAAGATGTTGTGTCCTAACTAAAGTTAGAAGTTGGGAGACTGGATGGATTGTGCATTCAAGAAAATTAGTGTTAGGAAGTAAGGACATAATGTTGTGCATGATTTTCCATCTAATTCCCTTTGTGGAAAAAAGGACTAAAAAGACAAGAATTTTCAGGCTCTGCTTTCAGACTTCTCAGTGCCCACTGCATACGGACTGCTTGTGAATAAAAGCCACCAGCCTATTTGGAAACACTGTTTTGCTGACATGATTGAAAGGGAAGGCCTCAGCCTCTGGCCACTATCATTACCATTTTACTATTTTCCTGCCTGCCTGCTACATGGGCTTCCCTTTGCAAATTTTTGTTTTCTGTCTCACAGACTGATCTACTCTTCTCATGCCTGGGAAAATTCAATAGGAAAATGCATGAGATTGATGAGGAAGAGAAGGAAGTCTTTGCTTATTCTCAAACACTTTTTCCTTTCTGTTCGAGGCAGTTGTTATTTCTGTGGTTTTGGTTAACATTTTCTATATTTAAAGGATCCTGACTTTTATAATTTTCTATAGGAATCTTCACAGTCAGCTAACAGTACTACTTCCCAACCCCCTTGTCTTTCCCTGTTTTATACAACCAAGAGAAGATTCTATAACCTATTTTGTGACAGAGGAAAATAAGGCGATATTCTTACCCAGTTTTTATCTGGTGTTATACATTTTTTTCTTGTCCTTATACTTTGTCGCTCACTTTGCTATTTAATCTTTCATTACAGGCCACTAAAGAAGTAATAGAGCGAGAAGCCCCAGGGATGGCCCTGGCAATGCTGATGGGATCACTTAATGTTACTCCTCTGGGCATGCTCTCTAGGTAAGACTGAATTCCTTAAAAATAGAAGGTGAATTCTTTACTTAGAAATACACATTGCTATTCAATGACTGTGCACAAATTCCTGAATATTGCCATTGTTATCAAGACTGGAAGTCTTGACTTCGGAGAAGTTGCCAAATTCCAAGAATGATAATTGCATTCTCTCTTTTCATTCCCTTTGTTGTCTCTATTAGAAACTGCATCTTCCTGTATTGTCTCATCCATGTTATTTGTAATATTGATGAACATTGTTAAATAGGTGTCTTTTCATTCTAGAACTGTGGTGTTTGGGTGGTGAGTGAAGAATTTTTCTGTATGTTGTTCATCGAGTACTAAAATGCTTTGTTTGGCAAAAAACCCCCAAGACTTTGATACAAAGACAAATGTGTTGGTTTGATATTGCTTTTATTACAGTATCAGCAGAAGCTCTCTGTAGAAGGTAAACGGTATTTTGTCCCATGCTTTCAGATATTGTACTTTAATTCCTAGAGTTTAGTATTTCCAACTAAATAACTAGTAACTGTTTCTCTACCTGTAGTTGTTCTGGTTCTTATAAGTGATACCTCTTATTCTGTTTTTTTTCTGGAGTTGATTTTTATTTTATTCAGTCAATTTCCCTCATTTTACCTACGATAGACTGTAATTTCAATACCTTTCATAAGTTAATTTGCACTTACACATTATTTCAAGGTAAGTAAGAAACAATGGCTGTTACAGGTTTTTGATTTCTCATATAATGAGGGTATAACAAGAAAATAGTTATATAAGAAAGAAAAAAACTTTTAAAAATACAAGTTTGTATTCAGATAGTTGCATTTTTAAAGGGCATTTAGATGAGAAGTTTAATGATTCAACAAGGTATTTTAAAACTTCCCATACCCTGTATCACATATCTGAAAGGGCAACATTACCAAGTTAACACCATCAAATTCTGTCCCAATTAAAAAGTATTTTCACGTTTTTATCTGATAGAATTTTTTGTATCAGTTTGTATTTATCTGAAGGGAAAGGATAACAGAATGCTACTTAAGGAGAGAAAGGCTAATTTAGCTGTTCTGTTTCTGACCAAGAAAAGAATAACCACTACCAAGTTTGATCTAGGATGTAGTATGATCAGGGTGGCTGAAAGGATATTGCATTAGCAGTGCAACCAAAATGCTGGATTGTGTCCTGACTCTTCTGTACATATAGACAGAAAATGGCCCTTAAGCTACAACCACTTTCAGAAGTAATTAATGAGAATGATGGGAGATAACATTGTGAAGACGCTACATGCAATCAGGCCTTAAAAAATATCCCAGTGAACACGCCTAAAAGCAATCAGCATACCAAAGGCCATTATTTTTATAACACTGTTCAAATCGTAAAGTTAAGTACACAAAATTACAACATTGTGATTTCTTGTGCAATCTCACTTTGGCATGAATGCAATGTTTTTTATGATTAGAATTTTTTTTAGAATTCCTATGCAAATGCTTAAGATGGGGGAAGGGAATTTACTTTTCTTTTGTTTGTTGTCTTATGTGTAATACTGTGGGTATTGGTGCTCTTTATTCAGAATCTTCTCTGAATGCAGGCTCACTTTTTCTGTGATTTTTCTTACATCAATTGTTATTTGAAGACCCAAATTGTTAATATATTTTCATACATTTTCTGCAAATTGAGGTAGTGCTGTAATCCCCTCTTACAATGAGAATTAAGGCACACAATAGGAGAAGTCAGAAGCTTACACTAGTTTTAGGTACAGAGTTTGGAAAATGTAAATCCTAATTTTTCAAAGTATATAACATTAAACGTCACTTACCCTAAGCTTACCTCTCACTGACTTCATTTTGAAATGAAGTCCTAATGGATAATTCTGCATGTAATTTCTTTGACTTTTCAAATAAAAAAACAAAAGCAGAAGTTCCATTGCATAACATTAAGCTGGCACATCTATAAATCACCTGCAGGTTTGGAAATGTTAGGTCATTCGTGTTGAATTTTATCACATGAACTTCTAAAACTTGTTAAAAGTTATGGACTGTCTTCCTGCCTAGGGGCCGGCATTGGCAAGTTATTTTGTGAGCTGGGTAGGGCACAAATGAGGGACAGCGACAGTCTCATTTGCCGCAGCCCGGTGAAAGGAGAGGCGACGACAGCACGAAGGGTTCTTGCTCTGTTGTAGGTGTTTATTAACACAGGGATGCGTGAGGGTACAGAGTCAAGGGCGCTGTCCCCGACTGAGGGGGGGGCTAATCCTTATATAGGGTTCAGAGTGGAAGGATCTGGAAATTGATAGGAGCATGGGACTAAACAACCAATGGGGATTCAGCAACATGCATAACTTAACTAGGAGCCAATAACATGAAAGGAGGGAGATGGCAGGACCGCCCACACCGCGGCAAATCCTGGCCAATGAGGGAGAGGGAAACCTTGACCAATCAGGGAGGAGAAAATTCATGAGGGGACCAACATGTTCATACATGTCCAAATACAATACAACAAATACAACTGGGGTACAAACACCAAAAAACATGCATTAATACTAAACACCATAAACATTAGCCAGACAACCACAGAACACCCCACCCATTCACGAATCAGGCCCAAACCGCCTGCAAACGTCCGTGCCATCAGGCAAGAGTCCTTTTAGCATTTTTCACACAGCGCGCGCCATTTCCTATACTCCTCCTGCTTCCTTCGTTTGTCCTCCACACTCATTCTCAGTTAAGATTTGGACCCAGAATTGAGCAGGGGCTGTCTTAGGACATCAAAGACCTTTTTATGTGTTTCCTGAAAGTGTTTCCATTTCTCCTCTGTGACCTTCCAAAACTGGCCTCATCCCAGAATTATCTCTTCCTTTCGCCCGATTTCTTGCCTGTCAACTACCTGTGCCATGCCAGTCTTTATTGGGGCTTTTTAAAGCACTCTCTGTTCCCTTGCCCATCTCTTCTGCTTTTAACAGTGTATTTTCTTACCAGGGAGATCATGGACTTTTTCCCAAAGAGATCATGTTCTTCATTCCTATTTCTGCCTTAGGCCTGCACTTCTTTTCTCCCACACCCAGTTTTTCCTACTATTCCTTTGCTTCTATTCATATTCTTTTTTCTGAGTCTTCCTTGTTTTTTCTTAAAATTTCTGTCCATGGCATCACAAGGTTGAGAATGAGATCCACATCATCCCCCTCAGCTGGTCTACATTTGGAAGAATATCATTAATTTATCTCTCAAAGTATCCAGAATGCATGTGTATTTTGTGTGCTCTTGTTGTGAGCACACACAATATTTTTTTGCAAGCCATGCATTTCTTAGGTACCTTTACTTACTTCTCCGTGCTCTCTTGAGAAATTTTTGTCAGCTCCATTTCTCTCTTGAGCCACTTGATCTGATTATTGGCAACCAAAACTTGCAGTTTTCAGGAGAAAGACTGCTGGTTTAATCCCTTTTTTATTATTGGTTGATTGTACTAGTTATTTAGCTTATAATGTTCAAAATTATTTAAAGTGGACTGGAAGAGCCAAGAAGAAAACTATTAAAGGAGCTCTCTGCCAAATACAATTCCACCTCATTTTTATTTCTCTGTGGACAATTCCTATTTCTTTTGTTTCAAATCTGTCATGAACTGTAAGCCACATGTGGGATTTGCTAGACTGAGTTTGCACTCTGTAGGCTTGACGACTGCAACAAGAATAAATGAACACATTTCTTTAACTCAGGCTCTTCATCTTTGTGCTACAGTAGAGCATTCCTCAGCTACCAGGAATCCTTTCTGAACTGAGTGTACATAGTCGGAAAGAAGTGACCATGAGAAGGAGTCAGGCAATATTCAAACTGCCAGTTGAAGACAAGACTTCTCTTCAGGCTAGCTTGACTGTGATATCAGAAGTTCGTTTTGTGGCACAAAAATGATCTCTCTGCTATTTACTTGTAAGCATTATGACAACTATCATGGAAATACTTGCTACCCTGATAAAAAATGTCCAATACCAATAAATGACTTTAATCACTGAGAATTATTTGTATAAGAAGGAATCCAGAGAAGTTGGCTACCCAACAAACCATGTCCTTTGGCTCAAAATTTTTGGTAATGCCATAACTGGAAATGATTTTCTTTTCTGTTCTGTCTTCACTTGTAACTCATTTTTTGTTTAGTAAAGTGATTGTTACAGTTTCTCTTAACTATGACCTCTGTGTCTCTGTGGTTTGGTATTGTCCTTTTACTTTTGCCTTATCCTTATATTCCAGCCCTGTGTTTTTCATGACTGGTTTCATAAACAGCAGAAACATTCTTTGCAACCTCAAGACAAAACTCAGTACTTTTAATTATTTTTTTTTTCTTGAAAAGTATTTAGCTAAAATGCTGAAGAGTCAAACTCTAAACAACAGAAAGCATTTGGGGCTGGAATGTTTAGGTTCAGTCTTCCATGACCACCAAAGGAACTTCCTAAAGACAAAAAAAGTGAAATAAAAACTTCCATCTTTGATACTTAGTTTTGTCTTTTCTTGAGGGGAGGAAAAACTGTTAGGAAGAAATAGATATGAATTCCATAAGTACAATTTTCATTTGAGAATTATTGCCCTCTTTGCGTTTCTTATGTTGCATCTTTTTTTTTTAAGAAAAGGACGTATTTGAATTAATGCAACAAGCATGACTTAGTATTTTTACTTGACCATAGTGTTTGACACCATCACTTACATATCAAAGGAACATGTGTATGATCAAATAGGGACTATATCAAATAGTTTTTTGGATACAAGTAAGCAGTAGAATTAAGCGAGCTACACAGATCTAAATAAAGATGAAAATCTATCCAATCTTTATACTATCAATTCAGTATTAGATGCTGTCAGCCTTGTTTGATGCTTTCTCAGCTCAGCTTCTCCTCAGTTCTTTTATGAGAACATTATCAGCAAATATATTGGAAATTAGGTTTACAAAACCTGATAAATCATAGAATGTATCTTAAATGCTTTGGTTTTGTTTCGACGGTGGAGATAGTTGCACGCAAGAATTTCAGTCTGTGTTTCTTTTTTTTTCAGACCTGTGTGTGGAATCAGAGGAAAAACTCTCATAATTAATCTACCAGGTAGCAAGAAAGGGTCACAGGTAAGAAGTGTTCTTACTCACCTGCTAGTGAGGAATCACGATGAGTTGAGTACTTCTCATTGCCCTGAATGGTAGAAAGTGCCCACTGCAACAAATTTTACAAAAGTGAATTAAAATGTATATTCACATAAGTGAACACACCATCACCCTCAGCCAGAGACGATAAAACTCTGATCTGATTGAAGGTGCTGTGTGACCAAGACATTGTTACATGTAGTGCAAGCAAGCACTCACTCTAACAGGCAGTACTAATGAAGACTATAATAGTCTCTTACCCTTCCTCCTTCTTCTCTAGTTAAGCTGTACTTGATCCCTGGGTTGACTACAGCTTCCAAGAAAGCATTATTTGTATGAATAACATTCCCAGTTTTGATTAGCAAGAGGGAAAAAAGGGAACAGAACTTTTGAGCATTTGAGGATTTTTTTAAATCTTTATTTTTTTTTAAATCTTCTCAATATCAGTATCTGACTTTTCACCCTTTATACGGTTTGTTCTCTTCCTACGTTTTGCTCAGTTTGGATAGAGAAGTTAGGCTTTATGTTTTTATTCATTCTTTCTTTTTGACTATATAGCTGAGAGAAACATAATTAAATTTCAGCAGGAATTTGTGTGTGTATGTGAGAGTAAGGCTAGATCTTTCACTGATTTCTGTGTTGTTGGCTGATAGGGAAACGGTCTTCACACAAATACTGCCAAGCTGAATAGTGGGCTGTACAACCTGATACAAAATGGCTACGGTAGATTGCCCCATCACAAGAAGCTATTTCTTTGGGGCTCAGACTACGTCAGCAGCCTTATTAAAAAATGTCTTTACCTCTGGCCTCTAACAAATGCATACCTGGTAGACATTTTCTGTACCCAGTCACAGAGGAGACAATACTAAAGTGTTTAGCAGCACAGCCCTGAAGTCACTGTTTTTTGAAAGACATGTCTCTGGAGATAAGTAAAAAGCGTTTATGTGGGCTGTCACCTGGAAGTTGAAGAGGAAATGTTTTGAATGCTATGCTCAAGAAGTGACTTAGGTTTTCAGATACATTGTCAACATGTTTCAGTTCAAGGACTCAGTAAGCCCTCCTATGATTCTACCATTTCTTAGAGCCTTTTTAAGAAATCTAATGAGACTGTAATTAAAAAGAAATTTAGAAGTCTTCAAAACATACAACAGGAGTTGGAGGATGCTAAGGTGGGAGTATACCTCTTGAAATTCTTCCACTTATGAGTGGGAAGTCATAGGGATATACATTTATTTAACATAGCAATGGGCCCCACATGGTGGGGACCAGAACTGGTGCACCAGTAAGAAGATTGTTTCAGAAATGAGTACTTCTTTTGTTGAATTATGAAAGAGATTAAATAGCCTACAATCTCTAATGGTTTTTATTGTGTTCAGTAGCAGTGCAGACATGTGAGATACAGAAGCAATTGTCATTTTCTATCCTGAGGCAATCAGACTGAGAAGATAGATAAATTGCAGAAATGAGGAAAAGAAATGAAAAAGTGTTAATAAGTATTTTAACAATAGTTTGATATAGATTAAGTAATAAAAAAAGGTAATTCTTCTGGAAAAGAAAAAAATGTCCTATGATTGTGTTATACAAGCAAGCTTTTGATAAACTGATGTTTTATTTGCTCCTGTCATGATGATACTTTGTCCTGTCACAATTTATTTTAGTACAAAGCATCTTTAAAGCATCAGATTTCAGCAAAGATTTTTAAGATGAATAGTAGAAAAAATTGTTCCCAAACAGGCTGACTCTCAAGAACCAAAAAGGACAGAATTTCTCTCATTTTTCTCTTTTATGACTTGCTAATTTCCTTTCCATAGTAGAAATATGATTATAAAAGAAACTTATATGAAGCTATGAAATTGCAGCAATATCCATATTACTTTAATAAGGTATTTAAATATTAATGGCAGCAGTGTAAATGCTTAATCTCAAAAATTAACCACATGCCAAATGTGTTTTCTCCAGAGAACATTTTTGTGACATGTACCACTGAATCCAGATCTGTAGAATATTTCCATTTTTTCTGGTCTCCTTTCTTTAGCCTTGCAAAAGATAGCTAATGTTATGAAAGAGGGCAAAGTGTGAAATTACCAGATGCTTATTAAAATCATTTGGTCTATGGCAATTTTCATAATTGTGGTAACAATTGCCTAACACAGTGAGTTTCACAAATAACATGAGCTTTTAGGGTACTTACTGGGAACTGTTGCATCAACAATCAAGCCAACAAGGTTCTATTTCAGTGGTAGGAGTGGGGAATGTGATTCTCTAATGAGTCCATTATTAATGTACTTTTTCACAGTTATTGGTCAGTTCAGAGATTGTTGTCCTTGTATCACTTACTTGAGGTCTGTGTTTTTGCTGAAGTAATGGTGGCTGTATGTTTCATTATTTTAAACCATTTTAAAAGTAATACTGTGATGGCTTAATAACTGTGGCCTGCAGTTAGATTATAAGTCATAATTTTTATTATCTTTACAAATATGTTTTAATATATATTAATTTAATACCGTGTCCTATAATCATACGGTTTACTCCAGTTCTTCACAGTACCAAATTGAATGTTTGAAGAATTTATAGATCTATGAAACAGTCTGACTTATCATTCAGTACTCTTAAAGGAGTAACTGAAAGATGTGTTCTTATTTAGAAGCTTTGAGGAAATAGTGTCTGTAAGTCATGTTTTATTTACAAAGTGGCTTATATAAACTCCAGTAATTTCTGATGCATGCTTTGCTCTTTATTTTGTTGTGGTTTATTATTTTTGTTTATTGAAATATTTATTTATTTTTATTGAAAATAAATTATTTCAAGGTGTGTTTATAAAATTTTCATCACTATTTATTTTCTGGATACTCTAAAATTTCAGAATAATTTTTTTTTAAATCTTCCTTATATTTGAAACAAAACTGAAAATGAAGTGCAACAAAAGGAATAATTGCCAGCTTTGCCTGTCAACTTGTGTGTTCCCTGACTGCATTGCTATGGCAATTCATTCTTGTTTTCCAATTTTTTTCGAATAATTTTCCAATATTGGATTTTTTTTTTTTCCAATAATTTAATGTTTGTATGCAGGCTGCTCAAATGACATGAAGAAAACTTTTTACCCAGGTACCTGGCAGGAGAATGAGAGACATTAGTCATAAATTGAAGAGAGTAGCTTCCAGCTGGATAAAAAGAAATGGAAAACCAAAACAAAATGAAACAAAAACCAGTCAAACAAACAAAAAAAATCAACAAAAACACTAATTAAGCATTAGAACAGGTTGTCAAGAAGGGTTGTAGTCTTTGTTCTTTGATTTTTTTTCAAGACTTTACTGAACAAAGCCCTAAGAAGCCTGTCATAATTTCATATTGACCCTGATCTGGTCAGGCAGCTACAGTGCATGACGTCCTGGGGTTCCTCTTTGATTTGATGAAATGCCAGCTTATTTTAGCAGCATAGGTAGCTGTATATGTGTGTGCCCATTATGGAACAAGAAAATTGTGCTGTGTCTGCATTTTTACTTTCTCCAGCCATAACCTTCTAATTGTTTTTAAGATCATAGAGCAAAGAGAGGTTTGAAAAATAGATTATTTATGAAACATTTTTTCTGAGTTACACAGCATTATAATAACATCAGTGTAGTTTGTAATTCTTCCAGTATATAGGATAAGTCCATGAATAAAACAGGATATAATTATATAAAAGTTTAATTACGGAAACCCTTATGAATTGTTCTCTAATTGAGAAGGAGCATAATAGGAATGATTTGAAGCTAATATCCCTGCAGGGATATAGTTACTGTTTTTATTCTGCATTTTTGTAACATTCTGCCAGCTGCTGTGAACTGTTTACTGCATTACATAGTCACAAAAATTTAACTCTTGTTTTTTGAAGTTCTAATACAATATTAGCTTAATTACAATAGCCTTGTTATGTAATTTATTTTCATGAAAAAAAGGCAAAAATATATAGAATAGTCAGCAGGTCCCATTCTGAGTTTATTTTTTTTACCCTCTCTGAGCAATTGCATAGGGCAGGTAAGGTTTTATTTACGATTGGGTGAAAAGATGCATCTAAGTCCCAAATATATTTTAAGAGTAAATCTGAAAGATCCCAATTTACTTCTGCAGGTAACTTTTCATAGTCATTTCTCTTCTTGTTGTGCATAGGAATGCTTTCAGTTTATACTGCCAGCCCTACCTCACGCCATTGATCTTTTGCGGGATGCCATTGTAAAAGTAAAGGAGGTACACGATGAGCTTGAAGATCTACCTTCACCACCACCTCCTCTTTCTCCTCCTCCAACCACCAGCCCTCACAAACAGACAGAAGACAAAGGAGTACAGTGTGAGGAAGAGGAGGAAGAGAAGAAGGATAGCGGAGTTGCCTCAACAGAGGACAGTTCTTCTTCACATATAACAGCAGCAGCTATCGCAGCTAAGGTGAGTCTGGCCTGTTTCCCTAAGAGACTCCTTTAGTTTCTATCTCAGGTACTTTCCACCAATATTCAATTGCATGTTAAGACTATATATTGATGTCTCCATGGTTAAACAGATGTATTTTAGGTACGTTTTGTAGAAATATAACATCATAAAAATATAAGCATTCTGGCTTGGTAGGTGATTTCAAGTTTCAGTGGGAGATAAATGATTTATTACCTTGATGTTAACATATGTTTTTATAATACTGTTCTGATGTGACATATGGTTTTTAGTGGGTTTTTTTAATTCAAAGTACTCACACACTTGAACATGCAAAGTCCAGTAAGCAGCATGTTAAGGAATTGCAACATAAGTTTCTAACCCGTAATATCTTATTTGAAATTAAAATGTTGGTTTCTAAAAACATTGATAAAACCTATGACAGATTAAGTAATAAACTATTCAGATTACTCTATTCCAGTGTGCATGCCCACATAAGAGATGTGAAATTCTGCCAACAAACTAAATATCATCATTTTGTCTTTATAGCCTTGCTTTAACCAGTAATTATAGATCAACATTACTCAAACTAAAATAATAAATTGGAGATTCCAAAAAAAAGAGACAACACCTGTAAATAATTTCAGTTCAAGATTTAAATGTTTTCCAAAGAATTATTGTATAATTTGAAGCAATATATAAATATTTACCTCAGTTTTATGTCTTCAGTTTTCAAGTGAAAAGACAATGTATCCCTATGTGTTTGGAAAGGTTTTTTCCAAACTGCTTTGTTCTATATTTACTCCACAAATTGTGCTTTTAATTCCTATTATGCGAATTGAAAGTCTAAGTAACTCAAAATTATATTAAACAATTTCTAAACCAAAGCTGCAACATTCTAACTCCAGAAATGTGAATTCAGGTCTGAGACATCTTGACATTTCTAAGACAGCTGCAGCTGGAGATCATCTCTCAATATACAGAAAATCCTGATTACATATGTCTTTACAGGGATGAATTAAGGTAATTAACACTTGCAAGTATCAGTTTTTATTCATGCAAACTTTAAATTGTTTAATTTCTTGTGATATAGGCAAAGACAAGTAATATGTGCCATTTTAATGGCAGAAAATACCTGAGATCTAAACTGGCTATGTTCATATGAAGTTGGCATTTCAGTGTCACACTTGTTTTCACCTCATTCCTTTTTGATCATTTGCTTGTATAGTTTCATGTTTTCCTGTCACTGTATTCATAGCTGTTATGTGTTGTGCATTAGAAGCATCCATCCTACACCAGTTCAGCTGTTATCATGGCAAAAGGTGAACAACCCATCCCTGGTCTCATCAGTTATTGCCATCACGCAGCAGGCAGTGCAGGAGAACTGGTAAGAGACACTTCCAAGAGGCTTTTGCACTAACACCAGCTAAAAATACACTGCCTGCCTCCTAGTCTATGTAACAGACAGTTATTTTCTTCTAACAAAGACACATCAGTGCTATCTTTTAGAGCACATGCTACAGAAAATATCTGTTTAAGTTATAGGGCTAAACAAGGTAAAGTTCGTGTGTTTTGTCAGTTTGAATCATTTAACTGCTGAGATAATAATTGCTATAAAGCTTGTGTTTTTGATTAGTCATAGGCTTTATCATCTAATATACTCAATAATTGAATATAATTAAAATAATCTCCTAAAATTACTGCTTTACAGCTATGAAATTGTAATTTTTTCTCCTTTGTTTGCCTTGCTTTGCTGCATTTCCCTCAATAGATTTTTTGTCAACACAATACAGCTTTTGCAATGGCTGTTCATAGTTCGCTTTCATCACTTGCAGTTTCTCTCTCATTTTTATTTTCTGTTTAGAAGTAGAATTTCTCAAAAACAGAAGACTTCAGGAGTCAGGATACAGTGGGCTTAATATAAATTGCTGGATTTTAGTGAATAGTAGACAACTATTTAAATGAACTACTCCCCTAGGCAAGTAGTAATTAAAACCATCAGTCAAATTGCCTAATACCTCTGTATTTAAAACATGATTCTGTGTCTCTTGAAAAGTCACTTAGGAAATGGGGAGACTTTCAAGTTCACACACCTGATTATAGAGCTATATACATAGCTTTGTCATACTTATACATGCTGTACATACATACACATTTATTGCAATAGTTCCGTTTTTTTGAGTTGAGGTTACTAAACTAGAATTTGCACCGTATTCTTCAGTATCAGTGATTTTAGGTTTTCTGAAGCACGCTGTTAAGATGTCATCCACGTTTATGTGCCCTTTTGCAGATTACTCTTGAGCTATTGTATTATGCATTCTATAATCCACATCAGATCTTGAAACTCAGCAGAAGGTGGTTAGTTTTTTCACAGGTTACTGGGTTTTTTTAAGCTGTCCTTTCTCTATGTTATTAAGACATTTTTTCTTCTTGTAAAACAGTCATAGTTATTACCATCTACTTGATTGTTTTCTTACCTCACCAGCACTGTCAGTCTTTGTTCCAGTCCTGGGCAAAAGAGGATAAAGAACTCATATACTTTTTTTTTTTTTCCTTCTTGTCAATGCTTAGTTCTCTAATCTAAAAGCACAAATATTTAAACCCATATAGAAGTATTTCACAGAAAGGCCAGGTCAGATTAAACTTGTAGAAGCAGTAACTGATGGATACACTGAATATCTTTCTCTGTCACTTCATTCATTTCTCATTCATTTCTCTCTTCGTCAGTGTGTTACAACTGGTTTTCCACTCCAGCTAGTGCAAACAGAAACTATTTTCACTGAATTAAGAGGGTTTTTGTACCCCATTTAGAGTTTTGAGATCTCTACCCTCAATTAAATTTATTTGAAACTGGAAAATGAGTAAAAACTTTCAAGGAGAGATATCCTAAATGCTCAAGAGTGTGACTTTGTGGAAGTTTTAAAAGAAGTCTATCAAAAAATGCGATAATATTCCTGCCCTTCTTTATTGCAGGTTTCTATGCTCCAGGAAGCAGAGAAATTTCTTGTGGATTTATTAACCTCTTTAACAGGGTTAACAAGAAGTTGCCTTGATTAGAGACTTAGATTACCTAAATTTAATTTTTTAATTTTTAAAGGTAAAACCCCTAAATATAGGTGAGAAAAAGCAGAAATTCCCCATATCACATTATAATTTTATATATTTCTGTTTATGCAGTGTACATAATAGTACCTTCTCTGAATTCAGCAGGTTTCAGTGTTTAAAGAGAATATTAGTTCTGCTTTTAGCAATACAGCATGTTCCACTTTCATAATAGAAAAAAAGCAAAATTTGTAACTGTGAACTAACTTAATTCTCTCAGATTTTTTTCTAGAACTTACAGTTCTAGACAAGTTTATGTATAAATTGTTTTCTGGGGATTGTATTTTATGTAAAGGTAGTGATTAAACAATAATTCTCATTGGAATTAAATGCCTGTGATTATCTTTTGCCTTTATCTTAAGCTTCATTTTCTGATTAATGTCCTAACTGAAACTTTACTTAAACTTTATTTTTTTCACAGGCGAAAATTAGTACTACACATACAGTTCAGTAGAAACTGGGATAGTCTCAGTCACTTTGTAAAGAGAGAGGGTTTTTTTATGAGGAAGGTTATATTAGATAAAATTTTAGAAGCAATGATTCATCAATATGGTGGAAAATTAAAAACCAAACCAAACCAAAACAACAAAAACCAAAAACAAAAACCCCAACAAAACCACAAACAAAAACCAACAACAAAAACAAACAAACAAAAACCCAAACAAAAAAACAAACACCACTTTTCTCTCCTGAAGAGCGTGAGACAACATGAACTATCTGGTTACTCTAGATCAACTAGAGTAAACCTAGAGAGAACTGGATCATGGTATCACTTGCAAAAGCAATTTTATTATTTGTGTTGTGGTGTCTTGAGTGTACAAAAGGATAACGGACCATCCACAATCATCTCAAGATGTGTGCAACTCTGTATCAAAGGAGTGTAAAGAAAAGGTGTCTTATTTAAAGACTTAAAACTGTTTTATTGTCTTTTTTTTATTTTATGCCTTTCTCAAGATGTAATTTTTTGATGTATTATCCTTAGGCAAGGAGATTAAAAGGAAACATTAAAAGTTGTAGATAGTATCTATGCCAATATAGAACTTACAAATGCCAGCCTATTTTTGGGCTTAACAAATTTAAGATGGGATTTCAGGAGAAAAAGTGAACAGAAGGCAAATTGTACTTCTAAACTGTTTGAATGTTCAGAATATCATTGAACTTGTTTACCTCTTAAATACATCTTAAATACATCACTAAGATTTTTAAACACTGACAGAAATTGACTGGCAAGAAACCCACTGTTAGTCTAGAAACACAGCAGTAGAGCAAAAAGGGGGCAGTTGGTGGCACACTGTGAACTAGATCTGTTTTCACACAACTTATAAACGGGTTATAAACATGAGAAACTCTTAATATGTGGAGGAGGGTATATGGTGAAATCTCCTAGGTATAACCCCGTATGTCTAAGTCAAACTTGCTAAGTTAAACACAGTCATTATTTATAGATGGGAACCATGAAGTTGAGGGATTGGAAAATTACATCAAAAGAACGGTATTTAATGATGTGAGCATTAATATGGGTCATTTTAACTGCACCGAGACGAGCAACAAAGCTGCCTTAATGTCCCAAGAATGCAACAGATAAAGGATTCAGGCTAGGATTCAAGCTTCTTCCTGGCTTCTGTGTGCCCTCAAGTCTTACAAGACAAGAATGCTCAAAATGCCTAGATGCAGACTGGGCAACAGCATCTCCATTTAAGGAAAAGTCCCAGCTGGAAATGCCCAACATTAGTGATTTGGCTCGTCACTGGATCTTCATTTCTTGCTTCCTTTTATTGTCTGCTATTGCCATTTCCCCCAAACACAGGGGTTCTTTTGGTGGTTCTCTTGGAGTTTCAACATCAGACTGAAGTAAGAAATTCTTAATGAGGAGAAAGATCTTAAGATATGTGTGTGTATATATTTTCCTTCAAAGATCTGAAAGTATACACTTTCTGGTTTGTTGTGATAGAGAAGTGAATTGAAGGAAGTAAGAGCAAAGTGATCTTGTAGAATTGCTGCCTCTGAAAAAGGAAGGAGTTAGAATAATGAAAACAAAATCAGAATAACCCTTTGTAAAGAGTGTGTTATAGTGGAATCTATTGCATTTTGAGTGGTAGAATTAATGTTAGAGACCACTTCTCCTATCTGAGGTAGTTATCATTTCTATGTCTTAACATTTTACACTAAATAAATAAATAAATCATTATGTTAAAATAGTAATCTAGTCAATTATAAAGCTGATGTAATAGCTACATGACTAGGCCCAAATACTGCAGTAATAAATGCCAACAAACTTTCTAAAATTTAGGAAAAGCTTTATTCTCAAATTCATTCCTCTATCTCTTTTCTTTAAAACTGACAGAAGGGACAGAAGATAAAAAGTAATGATAGATTCACTTTTATAACTGAAAATAAGAATGCTTTCTCACTGTTGTAAGTTGGTGTAATTCCATTTATTTCACCAGCTAAAAGATCTGTCACTAAAATTCGAGCTTAGAAATATAATCACAGAATAGTTTGGTTTGGAAGGAACTTTTAAAGGCCATCTCATCCAAACCCCTGCAATGAGCAGGGACATCTTTGACTACATCGGGTTGTTCAGAGCCCCATCCAACCTGACCTTAAATGTTTCCAGGGATCAGGCTTCCACAAACTGTCTGGGCAACCTGTTCCAGTGTTTCACCACCATCATTGTAAAAAATGTCTTCCTTATATCTAGTCTATATCTACCCTCTTTTAGTTTAAAGCCATTACCCCTTGTCCTATTACAGCAGGCCCTGCTAAAAAGTTTGTTCCCATCTTTCTTATAGCCCCCTTTAAGTATTAAAAGGCCACAATAAGGTCTCCCTGGAACCTTCTTTCCTCTAGGCTAAACAATCCCAGCTCTTTCAGCCTGTCTTCATAGGAGAGGTGTTCCATCTTTTGTGGCCCTTCTCTGGGCGCTCTCCAACAGGTCCATACCTTTCCATGCTGAAGACCAGAAAGCTGGACACAGTATTACAGGTGGATCTCACAAGGGCAGAGTAGAGGGGGAGAATCCCTTTCCTTGCCTTGCTGGCTACCCTGCTTTTGATGGAACCCAGGATACAATTGGCTTTTCTGGGTTACAGGTGCACATTTCTGGCTCATGTCCAGCCTCTCATCCACCAGCACCCCCAAGCCCTTCTCAGCAGCACTGCTCTCCATCACCATCTTGGTGTTGTCTGCAAATCTGTTGAGGGTGCGCTTGATCCCACTGTCTATGTCATTGATAGAGACACTGAATGACATTGGTCAAAATGCAGACACTTGAAGGACACCACTTGTCCCTGATGTCCATCAGGACTTTGTGCCATTGACCCTCTGGATGCAACCGTCCAGCCAATTCCTCATCCACATAACAGTCCACACATCTTTGCTCCCCCATTCCCTGGCTTAAGGGCAGTCCACTCAAGAAGTGTAGGAAAAGAGGTTGCCAGTGACAACTGAGACAAAAATTGTTGAGTGCCTCAGCCTTCTCCTCATCAGTTTGCCAGATTTTCATCAAGGGGAATAGTTTTCCAAACTGGCCCTCTAATATATTATGGTGGGAGTGGGGAAGAGTGAATTTTTATTTTTCCCCTCAGAATGTATTTTAAAGCAAGTGTTGGCTTTGGATGGTGATTTCTAATTCCTTTGCCTTTATTCCCTCTAGAGAGGCCTGTAGCTTTTGCAGCACAAACCTTATATCAAGAATTTTTGTAGCTGAAATAAAGTCTTCATGGCATAAAAGAGTATTTATGCACTGCATGAGATTTCTTGTGAGAAATTTTCTCACTGCGTGACATTTTTTTAGAGGGTTTCAGTCATTACTAGGAAGTGGTTTTCTTTTCAGAATATTATCCCATAGTTAGGGAATGGAAAGTCTACCTCCCTTCATGCTACAGCAGAAATCACTCTTGGTCATTGCTGAGTTTAAAACAGAGGCTTAAGAGGAAAACTATTATTTTCTTATCATTTGCTGTTGTAGTATGTCTGATTCATAGGTTTTTCAGGGCAAATAGTACGTTCTATGCTACTTCAGTTAGAATATGATCTTGTATATTTACTAGGAATTTGTTACTGAAATTAGGAGAACATGCCATTAGCCACTGGCAAGCAGTGGTTATGAGGAGGTATGCAAACAGAGGAGTGGGGTATTCCTATGTTTTTGATGTAAGGTTTTGAGTAAGTTTTACATACAGTATATTTTTTTACTATTAATTCTATCTCTCTTCTTTTTAAGATTCCAGATTCCATCATCTCTCGTGGTGTTCAGGTTCTCCCACGTGATACAGCCTCCCTCAGTACTACTCCTTCAGAATCTCCTCGTGCCCAGGCCACCTCTCGTCTCTCCACTGCATCCTGCCCAACACCAAAAGTAAGTGTGCTTATGCCTTGCAAGCTCCATGCTCAGCCATATAATCTATCAGATTAATGTATTGCCTTTGTTGAACAAGGTTGGTTCGCATGCAAGGGTTGTGTCATTCTACATAAAAATAGATGAACGCAGGACGGTGTAGCTTATTCCATGTACACTGTTGCACAATTTAATATGTGGATCCACCAACACCTTATGATTACTGAAGTTTCATGTTATCTCTTGCAATATCTGTCATGAATATGAAATTGTTAGCACCTTGAATGTATTTAATATGCTTTAGTATCCCCAGGAACATAGATAATCCTGCCACTGAGTAACAACATTGAGCAATTAGTATTTCATTGACCAAATATATGTGCAAATTTCTAGCCTGGGATGGGGCAGATCTGTGCCCCACTTTATTATTGATCAGTTTAAGACACTTTCAAACCAACTGGCTTTGCTCAAACTTAGATATTTGCTGCCTGACATTTGGAAACAAAACCAGCCTAAATTGAATAGAAAGAAAGTTTTAATGCCAACCTTGTGGGATTATTATTCAATTCTTACTGATTACACTATACTATTTAATCATTGAGGTGAACTCTATTAATGTTCTTTTTTTATCAAACTTTAATAGCATACATGAAAAACTAAGCAAATTGACCAGTGGCAAGGCCTGTAATGTTTACCTTCAGCAGAATTCCTTTCAGCAGAACAAAACTGTCTGCATTCACTTTGTATGTTCACATCACAAAGATCTTTCTGTGGCACCAGATGCTGACGTACTAATAGACCAGTAGCAGATGGCAAATAATAACATTCTTCCTTATCTAATTCATGATCCTTGAGGATTATTCTGCTTGCTAAAATGATTGCCCAGCATCTGCTAGTTCTTCTTTCCTGCTGTCTCATTCTTTTCTATCAGCAAACAAGATTTATTGGCAACCACCCATAGAAATATTTTGGTTTAAACTGTGAGATTGTTTCATGCAGTGCTCACCTTCACTGTAATAGAATCAAAATTATTCTGATGGCCAGCAAACTCGAGCTTCATTATATAGTTTACTTAAGATTGTTCTGTGAATTCTAGCTGCAAGCACCTCCTTCATTTGTTTTCTAAAAAATTGTGTCTTGTCTAATGGCTTAAAAATAAAAACCTGGAGCAGAAGAACAATACAAAACAGAGAAACTGCACTGAGTTTTATGCCTGTCGACAAAATGAGAGTTTCCAAAGAAAACCAAAGGAGACGGTAACAGGCATAAATAAGAGACAACTCTGCTGAGGAATAGCTCTAGTTGAAGCCTCTGTGTTTTCAGGAAGTTTATCACAGTGGGAAGGAGTAAAGCTTATCTGTTATGAAGCAGAATGTACTGCTCTAGAGTGTCTTCAAAGATTCAGAGAATGCATAAGGAATCTACAAGAACTATGAAACAGGCTAAAAAACTGAAACTGTGTTTGGGAAATTAGGTGAGATGAGCTCATTTCATAATCGGATCATGCTTTGGTAGTTCGTGTTGAGACCTGCTTTTCATGTATTACTGCAAAATAGTTTCACTTTGTTCAAAATGTGTGAGACCACACCACTTTTTTAATAGGAATCGCTATGCAACATCTAGCTAGTCTAGATTTTCTGTGATGTCTTTCAAAGGTGGGTGGTACAAGCCAATACAGGCAAAGATAAATAAGAGCCCAACTGGAAAATAAACTTGAAAGCTGATGTCACCTGTTCCTATTGCCTAGAGGTTGGATTTTTCACAAAAGTATAAGCTTCTTTGCCCTTAGAGAGTTCTTTGCTCATTTTACGTATTACTTTTAAAAAAACTGAAGAAACTACCCAATATCTTTCTGTTCAGCCCTTTTCAGTGCCCTCAAGTTCTCAAACATCATCTGAATTCATCAAGAAATATGGTTCATTCATATTCTTCAAGATTATCAATATGTCTAAATGTCTTCACTTACTTAGTTTTTCCTTCTGGATCCTGGCTTTCTTTAATCTGCAAGTGTATATCTTTTCAGTATTCTCATTTGCTAGTTTAGGAAGTCATTTCAGGGCTCCAAAATGTGTATATACAACAGGAAACAAAGATGAAGGATCGTCAGGGAAAAAAATTACTTCTTTGATGATACGTATTTTCAGAGTGGTGGTCTAGCCACAGAGCTAGTGGCACTATATTTCTTTGTCAACTACGTATTCCAGTTTATTTTGTTGTACCATTTTCGTGTATTTTTTTGTCCTGAGTGTACGTAAGCCCTTACTGAATTTGCTGAATAGCAGAAAATTGTCTATGCCTCAGAAAGAAATGGAGCTTCTGCAATAACAGGAGCACCTCTATTAAATGAATGTAAGTAGCAGATTGCTAATGCATGAGGGTATTGGAGAGAAGGTATGGGATAATGCATTACTAATGCTACTGATTGATCTGTTAATAATCATATTTGGGATGTAATATAAACATATTGGTGTTGTTTATATATAAAACAGATCATATAGACAAAATACAACATTTAATTTTAAATTTGCTTTACTGTTTACACTTAATTGTCTGTGTTTTCTGAAAATCTCTGTTTCTAACAAAGTACTAAATGATGAATATTGAGTTTGACCCTGGATATTTCAATCAGTCTTCAAAAACATAATTTCCTGGTAAAAGAAGTAATTATGGGAACAAACTTTTTAGCAGGATCTGATGCAATAGGACAAGGGGGAATGGTTTTTAAACCGAAGGAGAGTCAACTTAGATATTTGGTAGAAATTCGTTACTGTGAGGGTGGTGAGGCACTGGTACAGGTTGCAAGAAGCTGTGGATGCCCCATCCCTAGAAGTGTTCAAGGTCAGCTAGGATGGGGCTCTGAACAACTTGCTGTAGCTGAAGATGTCCTTACTTATTGCAGGGGAGTTGGACTTAGATGGTCTTTAAAAGATCCCTTCCAACTCAAACTATTTTATGATTTGTATGATAAATTTTTCACTTTAACCTCTTGGGAGATTAGAACTTCTCTTCACAAATTGCCATTGGGACTACTCTGCCTATCATTAGGTACATGCCCAAGACTAAGCAAAGTAACTTTTGTTAGCTTTTAATAAATCTTTCTTGTTCTCTGAATTGTATTTGAGGTTCAAACAAAATTGGCCACTGCTCAAAGAGCACTTAAACTATATTTACATTAGATAGATTCACATATGGAGGCAATCTAAGTTTTACTCAGAGGAAAACTGCACTAGCAGTCCTCTCTTTCTGAGTCATGCAACCATAAAGTTGATACTGATTATGACAGATGTTTTTATTTTCTACAATATAGTTTTGATCTTTTAAAGGTTTTACTGCTTTCTTAACAAGGTTAATGATTTTTCTGAATACTCACATGACAAAAGTTTAGGATGACACAGTGTGACGTGCAAGTTTTTCTTGTTATTTCCAATAGCTGCTCAGATTCTAAAATCTTACTATGTTTTTGTGTGTTTGTGGTTGGCATTTTCGTCAAGTAAAATGCAATATTCTTTTCAGACACAAAAGCGATACACTATCTATTTTTTTTTAATAATATTTCTATTTGTGTTGACTCTTGGGGTTTTTTTATGCTTACAATATAAAATTTTAGATCTATAACTTCAGATAACTTAGAAGAATATATCCAGAGCAAATGACTGAGTCATTATTTCAAACTTCTCATTTTGTTCTCCTCTTAGGGAGATGATATTGGTATAAAAGAAAATTACAGTTTTCAAGTTGAAGTCTTCACTTCTCTATATAAATGGTGTAATCAATATTTAATTTTTGGCAATGTTGTGTGTCGAAGTCAAATGAAGCAGATTTAGAAGACCAAGGACAGATTTTAAATTATTGCTAGGAATCCATTTCAGTGACAAGATATGTTCAAAGTATTTCACTTCGCAAGATCATCAGTCTCACTGCTGTTCAGTTCTTCCACTTCAACATGCAAAGTTTCTTTCAGCGTTATCCTGAAGGTTCCTAAGGAACTTGTAATAGTATTTTTAAGATGAGAGTTACGTTTTTCTTTTTCCATCTTGCTATTTCCTTGCCATAACCTCTTATATTCTGCATAAGAAAAAGTCTCTCTCTACTTTACTTGCTGGTTTTCTGTCCCATCCCTAGCTATGCTTTTTTTAGTTACACTGAACCAGACAAAACCCGTGGTGGTAAGTTAGATCCTTACATATTTGTAGTTGTGATAGATGGCTTTTGATTCCTTTGTAAATATATAGGCTCTATCTTACAGCTAAAATGAGCAAGCAAGGCTACTTTTCAGAAGTTTTTTCAAGTCTAACAAAACAGTCACAGAATCACAGGATATGCTGAGTTGGAAGGGACCCACAAGGATAATCTAGTCCAACCCTTAGCACTGCACAGTACCATCCCCAAGTGTCACACCATGTGCCCAAGAGTATTGTCCAAACCCTTCCTGAACTCTGTCAGGCTTGGTGCTGTGACCACTTCCCTGGGGAGCCTGTTCCAGTGCCCAGCCACCCTCTGGTGAAGAACCTTTTTCTAATATCTGATCTAAACCTCCCCTGACACAACTTCAGGCCATTCCCTTGGGTTCTCTCACTGGTCACCACAGAGGAGAGATCAGTGCCTGCCCCTCCTCTTCCCCTCATGAGGAAGTTATAACTGAAATGAGGTCTCTCCTAAGACTCCTCTAGGCTAAACGGCCCAAGTCACCTCAGCCCCTCCTCGCACAAATTCCCCTCCAGACTCTTTACTATCTTTGTTGCCCGCCTTTGGACACTCACTGAGAGCTTAATATCTTTCTTACATTGTGATGCCCAAAACTGCACACAATATTCAAGGTGAGGCCGCCCCAGTGCAGAGCAGAGCAGGGCGGGACAATCCCCTCCCTAGACCAACTGGTGATGCTTTGCCTGATGCCCCCAGGACACGGTTGGCCCTCCTGGCTGCCAGGGCACTGCTGACTCATATTCAACTTACCATCAACCAGGACCCCCAGGTGCCTTTCTGTGGCTAGGAGGTCCATAGCAGACTCCCACAGTGAC